GAAAATGTGGATCTCTGTCCGTCCGTGCAGCATAATGCTTCTCCAGACGAGAACTCCAGGACCACCGAAAGTGTCTCTTTCCGTGATTTTACTGGAATGAAACCATGTCCTGACTTCTCTCCAAACCAACTGGCGTTGAGAATCTCTTGTGGCACTAAAACGATTCTCATCCGTAAAGAGGACACTACTCTATTGATGAGATGTCCGGGTTGGTGCTCCTTACACCACTCTAAACGGTGGCGCCGATGGCCAACTTTCAAACGGATGCAGGTTCAAAATGGCGGACGAATAGGCTACCTTTGTGAAGGCGTCTGGACACAGTAAACGCGACACTTGTCACCCCGTTGCTGTACAAAATTGTTGAGCTATGGCGCTTGCTGACTGGTTTCGGGCTCTTTTCGCCTGCAGGACGATATATCGGTCATCCACACCAGTTGTTTTTCCTGGGGCGGCCACCACCAACTTTGTTAACAGTTGTACCTATACCTATGGTTAAATAAACCTATGGTTTGTAAGGCTTTCCAAGTGAGCAAAACGAAACTTTTGTTGATTCCGAACCCTTGAGCTACACTGGTCACACTATGCGTCTCCTCCAGCGTTCCGATCATTCTTCCATGTGCGAAGTCATCCAGGTGATTTCTTCTAGTCCTATTTTACGAAAGAACTCATCTGTACTTGCATCGAATGTCTTTAATTGCGTCTCCGTCCTTCCTTTTACTGTAGTCTTAAGTTGAGTGCGCCGACCGTGTGTGATTTGTGTACGCTCATGTCGCCTGTGACGTTTTGTCCCTGACATTTGCATACCCATGACTTTTTCACTGAATTGCGTGTTCATTGTACTGATCACAAGAACCTCTTTTCTGCAATTTCATGGCTATGTGATTAAAATTTACATTGTTGCTTAAGTTAAGCTTGCACACAAGTGTAATTAACACTCACAAACGGTCGAGCGGTGAATTTCTGAACACTGGTAGTTCTATCTAGGTTTGATTTTCTGCAAACGGACTGGCTACATGGGCAGTTTCGTGGATTTCTCCATGTGTAAAGTGGAAATGAGCCAATATCTCTTAGAAAGCAATCCACGAAAGCATTCCTACCTTTCAGCATATAGTCTTAACGTGCTTTTCCATAGCCAAATAAAACAAACCAAACCAAACTGCTTACTTAAAGACGTAATGGATGGACCTCTAATGAGAACTCACAGCGTGAGCCCTGAAAACATGCCTAGAATCGGGTATGTTTTTAGGGCATCAGTCGAAATAACTGCTGGAGAAGATGGATCCATCAGCGGCCGAGCGGTAAACAGTGGTAGTTCGGTCGGGAGATCGATGACCCTCGAGTACTTTGTCACAGTTACAAATAAAACCTAAAACAAAACCTGCTAGAGAAGACTGCGCCGTCACACAATCTCATTCTTATAAAGCAGTTTCTACCACAGAAAAATATCACGGTTCTCTAGTTTTTGGCACGCTTAGGCTACTTTCTCTTCGCTCAGATATTACTATTTTAATATCACTGAAGAGATTCGAAAATTATAACCAGAGACTTAAACAGTATTCCAAAAGGTGAATTCTACGAAGCAATCACGAGCTTTTAAAATGAGCGAGGATTTGTAAAGATTATATACAAATTAAATGTCTAAGAATAACGTTGTTGTTTCCTTCAACCTTTTATTTTATATACGAACTTGGTCTTAAAACTTTGTTGACATTCTGGGTAAATAAAATAAAACTGCATTTTTAAAAGTAATTAACAGGCAATGATAAAATTTTTGGGTATAAATAAATTCAAAACTGAATTAAAAAGACTGGCGAGCGCTATTTTGTGATTTCATGTAATTCAATGATTGACGAAAATTAATAAATCTGATTTCAAACAGACTCTACCTTATCTCAATAATAAGCTATTAATCAGCCTAATTAAAATTACAAATTCGTTAAGACAAAAAAATTCTTAATCCGAAAGCATGAATAGGACTCCTCATATTTAATGGGTTGAATGCCAAAGGTTCTGTTTTGGCATATCACGTGCGGCGTTAAGAGCTGAAACTTTCACCCAAGACTCCCACACATAACCTTCCATAAAATAACATAACCTTCCATAAAACTTCGAGTTCCCGAGTTCAATCCAAATTTAAAGGTAAAAGTTCAACAAACTTCGTAGTTAGAAAAAGTAGTTCTGATACATACCTTTGCTTTTTGGCTCGCCTACGCTGAAAAAATACCCGAGGTTTTTCTTCCCTGTCCACTAATTCACTTAATGAGAGAATTAATGCGAATAACTCCGGTCATGTTTTCCTGAAAGCTATTCATGAATCCCTTATCTTTTCCTCAAACATACCCACGCTGTGTTTAAGCTCATATATCTTAAGTAAAGGAAAGAATAAAAGATGCTATATCTTTAAGATCTCAAATGGTTTTAGTACTTTCAGAAATAGATCTAATCAGAAAAGATAACTCTTTTATACTTATTACTATTTTCGTTTAGATATCGGTACGTATTGTTTACAGCCTAACTGATCACAAATTTCTTTATGAATTAGAAGATGAATACCTTCAGTTAGATAACTAGCTTGTTAGGTAACTTGTTGTGACTCAAATGTTGAACATTTTATGGTTAAATGAATTTAACTGCAAATATTTAAGTAATAAGTTTGGCAAGAAGTTCTGTAACCATTTAAATTTCATTTACATAAACCACCGAATATATAAATCATTCGAAGGAAATTCATAATTGTTCGTATCGTTGTTGAACAAATTTACCACAAATAGACGAATCAAGAAACCTTAACCTTAAGTACCTTAAACGTCCAGACTTTGGGGTTTAAAATACAAATATTGCACTTACCCCTCCGTTGATGCTAAATGAAGTACTAAATTAACTCACATGATAAAAGTATTTTCAAAAAATGTCTGAAAGTTTTCAGCTTTTACATTATGGACAAAGAGGCGTTTCTTTTTGACATTTTGTGTGTTACCTTTAGTTATTAAATATCACGTTCTTCGCACTTAAACCATAGAATTCAATTCAACAGAAATATCACAAAATAATTTAAAAAGAGCATATCTATAGAAATTCCGATACACAGTCTCGCGCGCTGGAGATACAAATGTGCTTTTTTTCGTACAGTGTTGCCATTGCTCGCTTCGAAATTGTTGAATTTGTTAATCAAAAATTCTTTAAAGTTTTACAAGATATGAGATAGATAATAAACCAAATTCCATATTAGGTCTTCCAGATGCCCATAATCGGGTGTAGGATTAGGTTATTCAAAACTTGATGGCTTTATTTACCGTTCTTTTATCACAATGCGAGAAACATACATACATTCATGCAGATTCTTCCTTATTTAATTGTTTTAACTATAACGAAGGGCGATAATATTTGATGGCAGCAATTTGAAAAGTGATACAACCTTTCAAAGTTTTCGACCCAAAATTCCAAAACTAAATTAAAATCCTTTCTGGGCTAGCGCCCTTTTGGGCTAAAAATAAAACTTATTATGCAACTGATACTAAAAGTAATGCAGATATTTCTAGATTTAATAAGCTATTATAACCGAACAACTTTCAAGAGAGTGATCATGGCAAGGCCGAGTTCAGAAAATGGTAAATGGCATTCGTATTAAAAAGTTTAAAAAGAAAACGGTTTTTAGAATAACAGTAACTGACATAATATAGATGGATAAACAATGCTTTAAAAGATGTTAAAGGGAATAGACAGTGAAGGATAAATGGTGTTGGTGTGTGTGATTATGGCCAAGCCTCGAGGGCTATCTGCCTAAGGGGAGGGATGCCTTCGTGGAGGACTTTCTAAGGGAAACTGGCTCGTATACACGTTACACATGGGGAAAACCACGAAAACGCCCATGCAGCCAGCCCGTTCGCGGGATTCGAACCTCGGACCGAACTACCAGTGTTCAGCGGCTTTACCGCTCGGCCGCTGGTGGGCCCCCGAAGGATAAATGGAAACGATGGACAGGAATTCTTTTACATGATTGATAATTCTTTCCTTTTATGACATGAATAATAAAGTAAGTTATTTAGCATGAGCTATATAGGTGACAGTAGGACTTTCCTCAGTTCCTTCCAAATTTTGAGATAGCGCACCCGGGGGGACAGGTCCGAGGGTCTGCCACCCCTTTTCTCTTACCACCAAACCACACGAGAGGACTTTCGCCTCACAATGATTTTGGAATGCCCTCATGCCGCAAAGACGCTATACATTTGCAACATCCATGCCTTCTTCGGGATTCGAACCCTGATCCATCATAACGGCAGTTGGAGTTACTACCTCTATCCTGTTAATTATGTGTAAGTGATTTTAAAAGGCATTTCGAATAAGAATTATTCTATTAAGCTAAATTTAATAAGAACTGGATGAGATCATGATTAACACATCAAACTCCAAGCCTATTTTCGTTAGTCTAAAACCTGTCATCATAGGGATCGACTAGGCGTGTAGTGTGTTAGGTTGATTTCTTTTACATTTTCTCTGTAACAAATGATATTGCTGAACAGTTGCAGTATACTAACATCTTCGACAAGTGCGATTTATAGAAGACATGCAGCTTTATAATAATTTTCATTCATAAGAGTTTGTAAATGGTAAAAATTAATTTTTGATCACTAAATAAAATCATATTACAGTGTTCATATATTTTATTTACACGGAGTGTCAACTTAAATGATCGTCTAGAAACGTTTGCCTCATTGGCAACATCCAACCTTAAGGATAAATTTTGAATATAAAGGTTAATTACCGCTGCCATGACCATAGGTAGTTAGTTCTGCTACATATATATTTTTTTCAGTAAGCAACCGGATTACATAATGCCCTATTTTTGACTTACTCAGATTCCTTTTGATGACAACTGAGCACTAGCTTGAAAACTGGGAAAATAAGTGACAGGTCTAACTAACCGCTAATCATTATATGTAAAACAAAAATTATAATAAATATTTCGAAATGAGTTAGAAAAGTATTGTTTTCTTCCGCAGTTATACGAATAATTCCGGCAAACAGTGCTGTAATCCGTGTTCGAAAGCCTGGCCAGAGTAAACCGGAAGCAGTTTCGTTAAGAGATTCATCTGTCACCCGAATACAGGTAAATAATATTTTTTATGTTTAATAATACCTTTGAGACAAATCTTGAGTTATATTTCGTGGGAGACTATTAGGTTGGTAATTCTCAAGTATTTTGTTAAAACAGTCTAATTCAATATCCGATTACACCGATGTACATGAAAATAGGAAAACACATGTGCATTTGCCACGTAAGTTGCATCTATAGGCCGATGATAACGTTCGAGCCATTAAGAGGGGTGAGTAAAATATTGTTATAGGACAGAAACAATACTTTCGCTAGCAATGTCTCCAACGTTACAGAAATCATAATTTTACAACATTCTTATAGGGGTGCAATAGTTTGCAATGTGCGTGTAACGAAGGGGTATCATCCACCAATGATTCGCTCAACTCCTCTAATATCGCTTCAACAACAACGAATGAGAAGACTTAATAGAGAGCGCATGAGAAAAATTAAAGGGGCATGATGAACTCAATATGCAAAGTTCCAGACAAAGCAGAGTCGCAAAACGCTCTGAGCCAAGACCATCTTGATGGGAGATGGCCTCGTCTCAGCGCCAACAACTCAAAATAACCTGGCTGCTCAAACCCTCTGGAATGGAGATGATTATAACACAAACGTCGACTAAATAAGTAAAGCGACTGCACGGAGCACTTGTAAAATATGTAAAATTACTTGCTAAACGTCTCTTGTGCAGAAGTCTTTGAATGTGCAACGTCTTTGGCTCATAGTCTGTTCTAAAGCAATTACTGCATTGGGGGACTAAATGTAATTTTCTCTCACTTCTGTGAAAGAAGTCGAGCTTGAACCCGAGGCTAACCTAGTCTAATTATTGACCTTGAATTCATACCGTCATTTTTCCATGGAATTTTGGAACAATTATAATTTAAGTGTTTTGATATCACGAAAAGGAGTTCTGTAATAGAAGTGCAACATGCGTTTGGACGGCAGTTCAGTATTAGTCACCGCGATCATGCAGAGTTAGCATATTTTTATAGCATATTTGTTTGGATGAAGAAACTGATATTCGATGTGCTTGTCTAGTTTCGTGGGATAAAATTTCATATCGGCTGTATAGTAAAAGTCATAACTAGATAATTTTTTTTTTAACTTGCTAACATTTATGTTTGCCAGAAGCATACGTCAGCGAGTTTGTTTGGTTGTAATTGGACGATTCGCCAAGCTTTTTCCAGTTCAACGTACAATGGGAATCTTTAAGCGCTTATCCCACAGATCTTATTGTTCCAGAAGAAGCTTCATACTAGATCGTTGCTTAGCAACAAAACTGCGTTTATGCCTTTGAAAAAGCTTTATTATGTGGTGATGGCGATAAGGAGCGCGCCTTGCGCCCTCCGATAAGTGTGGCAACCCTAGAGGAGAAGTTTCTTACGAGTAGCGAGCAGAGCGAAACAGGCAGGCTGTCGGGGAGTATGCGCGATGTTCCTAAATAAAGCTTAATTTTTATTGTGCACTATGTCTTGTTAATATTTATATTAATGCAGTAAGAACACATAATCTGTGATATGGAATTGCGAGGATTGGTGGTAAAACATACAGGTAACAACATGATAGGAATCACCATAATGGTAACCCTGAACTGTGTTAAATCAGGCCGTATGAACAGTTCTCAAGCACTTTCGGTTTTGACTACAAGCCATCACTCAAGATCTCCAAACCAGAAGTAATGGATTACATCGGTTTTTCATCCTCCGAATCACAGATGAGTACTAATTATAGATCATTTTATAATTCTGATTTCTACTTATCATTTAATTTCATTTTCTTTAGTTAAATTTTTCCTTTTATTTTTGGCTTAAAAACCTTGCACAATGTCTGATGTTCATGCCGTCCAAATTGCGGTTTTATAACCGATCAGACCCATCTTTATGGTTTATTATGTGTGAAAGTACCTTTGCTTCTTGCCACCCCCAAACCTATCACAGAATCCATTACTAAATATAATTATGTAGTTTCTCATCTTCCTCCAGATATCGCATCACTAGTACGGGATTTACTTATGAAACCAGACCCTATTGATCCATATGCAAAGCTTAAAACTGAGTTAATAAATCGTTCAGGAGAATCTTCTCAGCAAGAAAATTCGCCAATTATTATCTGGAGAAGAATTAGGTTCTCGAAAACCTTCCGATTTGCTTAGAAATATGAAACGTCGAGCAGAATCTTTAAATGTTCCTGATAACTTAATGTTAGAATTATTCCTTCAACGTTTGCCTTCGACTGTTCAGTCTATTTTGGCAGCGGTTTCCAATTTAACTGTAGATAAAGCTGCAGAAATTGCCGAATTGCCGACAGAATTTTAGAAGTAAATCCAACCCCAGGGACTTGTGCCGTTTCTCGCACAGTCGATCAGTCTCTGAGGATAAATTATTTAAACAAATAGAAAAATTATTAACAAACGTATTGATCGCATTTCTCTTTCTCGTGGTCGCTCGCCAAATCGCGGAGATCGCAATAAGGAAAGAAGCAATTCCAAAGGAGAGAGATTATTCTGTTTGCTGGTATCATAGACGTTTTGGGAAAAAAAGTGTAAGAGTGTAGAGATGACAAATGTACAAAAACCTTGTTCATGGCAGGGAAACGAAAAAAAAACCAGCAAGGAATAGAGGCGACTTATTCTTGCCTCAAGTTTCACGTCGCCTGTTCGTTCGTGACCGTAGAACAAACCTTTCATTCTTGGTCGATACCGGCTCTGACGTGTCCTTACTTCCAGCAAATAATTCTCAAAAACGGAACGGAATTCGTCCCAACAAACACTTTTCGCTGCTAATTCTTCTACTATTCATGTTTATGGTCAAAAAACACTTTCTTGGATTTCAAATTAAGACGACAGTTTACATGGACTTTTCTTATAGCAAATGTTAGTACACCCATTCTTGGAGCAGATTTTCTCTATTTCTTTGAATTGGTGCCTGATCTCAGAAACAAATGTCTCAAAGATTTAAAAACGCATTTTAAAAACCGTCGGTTGCGTGAAAAAATGCAAGCATTTATTCAGTAAAAAAAAACTGTATTTAGTGATACACCATATCACAAAATTTTAAATAATTTCCTTCAGTTACTAGATTACCAGATCCTAACCAACCTGTTAAACATAACACCGTTCATTATATCATAACTAAAGGTCCACCTGTGGTTGCAAAACCTCGTCGGTTAGCTCCAGATCGCTTAAAAATAGCAAAACAAGAATTTCAAACTATGATGCAATTGGGGCATTTGAGATCTTCGAGCAGGAATTATGCATCCCCACTTCACATGGTTCCAAAAAAGGGAAGTCTGGAATGGAGACCTGTAGGAGATTATCGAGCATTGAACGCTCAAACAATAAAAGACAAATACCCTATTCCATGTTTAGCCGATTTTACTGCTGCATTGCACGGTACTAAAATTTTTAGTCATGTCGACCTGATTAAGGCATACCATCAAATACCAATTAACCCAGCCGACATCCACAAAACCGCCATATGCACACCATTCGGTTTATTCGAAAGTATCCGTATGGCAATTCGGCTTATGCAATGCATCTGCGACTTTTCAACGTTTTATAGATGAAGTCACGGCGGGATTTAGAAGGCGTTTACACTTTTGTCGATGACTTGCTCATAGCCTCTAAAGATTCTGAGGAGGAACATTGCAGGCATTTGAAAGCTTTATTTTCCAAACTTCAGGAATATGGACTTTGCATAAATGTTTCAAAATGCACCTTTGGTCAAACATCTATTGATTTTCTTAGGTTTTCACCTTAGTGAAAACGGAATTGAACATCTTCCTGACAAAGTCAAATGTATTTTAGATTTTCCTCAACCTACCACTCTCACTCAGCTTCGCCGATTTTTAGGCATGTTTAACTTTTATAGATGTTTCATACCTAAAGCAGCACATATTCTTTCTCCTTTAATAAAATTGTTAGAAGGCTATATTAATAAAAAGAAATCTCGTTCTCGTGTTCAGGATTCATCCCCACAATTAAATTGGGAACGAGAATGCTGAACAAGCCTTATTGCTGCCAAAAATGCCATTGCTCAGGCTACCCTTTTGAGACACCCTATTCCCGGAGCCCAGCTAAGCATCTGGGTAGATGCCTCAGACGTCGCAATCGGCGGCACACTTATGCAGTTGTCTCAACAAACATGGGAACCTATAGCATTTTTCTCTATGAAACTCAGTAAAAGTCAAAAGAAATGGTCCGCGTACGATAGGGAATTATTTTCTATTTATTCTGCAATTAAGAAATTCCGACACATGTTAGAGGGCAGAAATTTTATAATTTATACGGATCAAAACCGTTAATATACGCTTTTTAAACAGAACCCTCATAAATGTTCACCTCGACAATTGCGACATTTAGATTTTATTTCTCAGTACTCTACTGATATTAGGCATGTGCAAGGTTCAAAAAACGTCGTTGCTGACGCTCTTTCAAGAATCGAAATTGATTCCATAACAAAATCTCCATTTTTGGATTTTAAAAATTTCGGAAAGCTCAACGGCATGATCCGGAGGTACAAAACCTTCTCAAAACAAACACATCATCTTTGAAACTGGAATTTAAACCGTGCCAATATTCTGATGGTAATATTCTGTGTGACATATCAACAGACATTCCTCGTCCATTTGTTCCAAATTCCTTTCGCAGGACTCATCTTTAATCATCTGCATAATCTGTCACATCCAGGAATTGCAGCTATACGAAGCTTATTTGTTCTCGTTATGTATGGCCCGATATGAAACGTCATATCAAAAATTGGGTGAAATCCTGTGAATCTTGCCAAAAATCGAAATTACTAGGCAACTAAAGCACCACTGGGCCACATTCTCTCTTCTGATGCACGTTTTTCAGAAATCCATATGGATATCGTCGGACCGTTACCCTCCATCAGAAGGCAACGTGTACCTTTTGACTCTAATAGATAGATTCTCCAGATGGCCTGAAGCCATTCCCATCCCGGATATGAAAACGGAAACCATTTGCAGAGCCATCTTCAACTGTTGGATATCTC